AGAAAGGTTAGAGAATTTGTTTACGAATGTATCTGTTCGATTACACCTAGGTAAAACGTTCTGAGAAACTTCGTAAAGTCTAATAAAGATAAAATCTCGAACTAAACGATATTCTCTCGTTATTTTCTTGTAACAGAGTCATGTGTCTTTACAAGAATGAAACCTATGTAGCGAATTATTGTACATTCAAGCCTAAAGAAACTAATGTATGTTGACCCCAGCAAAACAATTCTCAACTTGCACTGTCACGCAATCCTGATGCAATAAAAAAATCATTTGAAAACCATCTAGTGGATAAAGTCAAGAAATTGTGATGTTACAGGAGATTAATAAAGATGACACTTATGTAATTTTTAAGTCTGTGCGTTTTCCCAAACCTCAGATATTCGTCGAAATATTTTGCACAAATTAACAGAGCCTAGTATGGAGCCGCGCCATTTTGGTGTACCTCCGCGGTAAACCAACATTGCGGCCGGAAAATAGTGTAAACATCTGGAACTTACTTTGGCTATTTAGGCGACTGATTATCTGTATTGAGCAAACAAGCATTTACATAAGCACTTTACCTGATACTTTAACTTCTGAATGGGCTAAAAATCACTAGATAAGTATGTGTTTTTCGACAAACGCGGTCGTAGCTCAATGTCACGCACCGCCATAACCAAAACGTCTCGCTTGCTTGGGAAACGCGAAAACAACAACAACAAGAACAACAACAACAGCAACAACAGTAACAACGAAAAAGACTAAGGAAAATAGACTGAAACGTTCATAGGCTGATATAAAGACCTTGACTCATTTCACTCCCTAAAGATCTGCAAACTAGTAATAAGCTATTAATCGATTCCAAGAAATGCAATCAAAGGCAGAATAGCTTGAGCACATCGATTCGATTGAATTTCGTACGACTTCAAATGCAGAACATTTAGCTCAATTGTAATATAGCTAGTGCTTCTCAGTATAATGACTGCCTGGGTACACGCAGCAAGCGTCTAGTTTAAAACAAAAACTACTGCCATTTTACTATACCGGTAAACTTGCTTATAACTCTGTCATCGGAAAACAAAACTATTGTAATATGTATCAATATCTTACAGTATGAGAAAAATAAAGATTTTGTTTGAAAATTTGCATCCCAGCTTCACACACGATAAAACTCCTTGTATGGTAAATCCAGAAGGGTCAAGCAGTTGTTCACTCAAAAATATGCACACAATGTTTTCCTGTATCAGTAATGAATAATTGTCCAGTGTTTGACACAATGACAGTCCAAGGTTTCTTAAGTTCGGTGGCTTCTCCTTTTATCGAGTTAACAAATTTTCCTTCCAATTTAAAAATCTGAACATTGGAATTTTCAGCGTCACAGACTACCAAGTTGTTGAACTTGTCAACGGCGAGTCCAGCAGGACGGTACAGCTTACCAGGCCCCTCTGTGCCAATATCATATAGAAATTCCCCTTCATTATTAAATACCTTGACGCAGTGAGTCAAGCCGTAGGAAACATAGAACGTGTCTTGATGACATAAAGCTAACCACGGGTACTCATCGCAGCCTGGAGCGCTGAATGACTGCAGTAATTCTGCACCGTCATTGGAGAGGACTTTGACCTCGTTGTCACCACTGTCACACACCAGCATTCGGCCATCGCAAGCAATGGTCATGTCTTCTAGTGTAATCAAGTGTTCATTGGAGATGTTTTTAATGAACTGACCACATTCAGTGTAACAGAAAATCCCAGCAGAATCACAGATAGTGACGCCACCAGACCTGTTAAATGCAACGGACACGGGACCATCAAGTTTCTTGGCGTCAAGTCCTTTCTGACCATACTCTCTCAAATAAACTCCATCTGAGCTTAAAAGTTGTACTCTTTTATTATTAAAGTCAGCTACTGCAATGTTCCCGGTCTTCGCATTTATTGCAATGTCGCAGGGAAAGTCAAATTTTCCTTTTGCTTTACCACGTGATCCAACGGCATTGATGCGGCTTAACGTGAACACTCCATGGACTACTAGTCAGCGGTTGACCATTAACTTCAATCACCACCTCATAATGCCCGTCACATTCGGGTGAGTAGGTGACGCTATATGTACCATCTTCGTTGTCTGCAATGTTGGTGTTGAGGTCCTGTTCTGACGGAGTGCGAACTTTGACAACGATCTGATCGATTACGTTATAACACTGCTGCCCCTCTGCATTCTTTGTTGTGATCGTTAGGCCAGTTTCCCTTCCAACTTCTGCTTGCTTAAAGCCCTTCCCTTCCACCACTGATCGCAGAGGATCAGTTGTACTAACAGCAATTTCACCAAGAAACGCGCGTCTAACACTCTGGATATCCTCTTCATTTGTCTTGTATTGAACATGCGATGGTTGACGTGTTTGTCCACACTTGTCGCAAATGCAAACTTTGCAGTCCTGACAGTAATAATTGAGAGGCTCATTGTCGTGATGTTTCTCTCTACACATGACAGAGGTCTCCACCGATTCTACCAGTTTGGAGCTTGTACCTGATTGAGCACAACAGGTATGAAAAGGTTGATTAGACGAGAGTTATAATCTTTGCTTACGCTAAATGCTAAACCAAAACAAGTGTTTACTGCCCATTGTTAAATTTGTAGGGTTTTTTAAATTGACGTTACAATGTACTTTCTTTGTATCGACAGACGCCTCGGGGTCCCAATCGATCTGAATCCGAATACAAATAGCAACGCTTTCTCGTGGTATACCATGGAATTTCTTACGAGGCATTTTCAAACTTGGATTTTTACGGCCCTGTATATAGCGGTCACCCTGTGAATAACGGTCGCTGAGTAACTTCCCAAACATCGTCCCCTATATTTACCGTTAAGTTGACCTGCATATAGCGGTCACCTGTATATAACGGACGCGGTCACCCTTAGACTTCCTGAATCTACAGTTTCATTATCTTTTACCTGTATATAACGGTTACGTAATTGTGTTACGATTAACGAATAATGACAAGCTTTATTCATCAGCTCGTTAAATCACAGCCATTAAGGCAGGGGTCTCACAAAAATACAAATAATAGTAAAACTACTAATACATGTCATCGCCTACGTCCAACACATGCTTGCGGCAGATAACATTTAAGTGTCGTCGCTTTCAAACAATAGTTACTGTAACTGTAACAACACAACCATACCACACTGTTTTCACTTTCGTCATAGTTACTTGATTATATATATCTTATTAGATGTTTTGGTGTTTAGTATTGCTGTATATTTTTACGAGTTGTGCCGTATTTGGACGAGCCCGTAGGGCGAGTCAAAATACAAACAACAAGTAAAAATGTAAAGCGATACTACACACCAAAACATCTAATAAGAGATTTATTATCCAATTGCTGTAGTCAATAAATTTATTAGTGAAAGAGGGAAAGTGTGACAGTTTCGCGTGCGCGCGCCGACCTGTCCGGCAAACAGGCCGTTCCTGCTGTACAAATAACTGTACAATATAGCTATATATTTGTACTGTTATTTGGACGGTATTCGCTGCAGTTGGATTATAAAACACTGTACTGTACTTATCTGTTTCAAATTGTTGTCAATAAATGTAAATTGTGTGATTTTCCACTTATAACGTTGTTCATAAGCTTTCAGTAGACTTTTACTGCACCTCCCTAAAAGTACACTGCAGGCATTTTATGGGCCTTTTTTATCGTGTTTATTGCGTCACTGTTACTCGTTATTGTCAATAAAACGTTAATTGAGTGATTATTTGCACATAAAAATGCCAGTTATTGACTTCCAGGGGAATTTAAAGGAAATTTGTGTACAGCGGTCACCCTGTATATAACGGTCACCTGGCGATTTCCCAAGGGTGACCGTTATATACAGGTTTGACTGTATACACAAGAGCCTTTAGGCGAGTGTGTAAACCAGGAAAATACACGTGATAAGTAATACAGTTGAACTCAATTGATCTAAATAAACTGACAAATATATTAGTGTTATTAAAATCTACCTCCTTCACTTGATTCCTCTCGGTTATTCACAGTTGCTGCTGTTAAATCATCAAGTTTTTTTATGACTTCTGTCATCATGGTTCCGACATCTCTAATCTCGGCTCCAATCTCTTTCAGTTCGTCTTTAATGTTGTCCTCGTCCTTTTTCCATTCACTGAGAAGTTGTTTGTAGTGATCTTCAATTTCAGGGTCCATGCACTCAGTTTCCAGATTGTCAATAGGTGCCCTGTACCTATCACCTCCCAGTCTCACCAGAGTGTCCCGGATGTCTTGCCAGTACGCGTTAAACGTTGTGTCATCAACCGAAGCTTGTTCGGCATGCGCGTACACGGTGTTTCTAAAGTACTTAATACGAGCAATATCCGCCTCACGAGTCATGTCCGTTGCAGCGGGAAGTGTGTCCCATCCGGTTATTGGAGATGGCAAACCGCACAAATTTCGCAGCAGAACCATCAAAAGAGTGATGTCAAAATCTTTCGAGGACACTGCCAAATGAATGACAGGAAAGAGCTTGCCCCATTGCGTGGCACTGATAATTCTTCTCGATCTGAGACCCTGTAAAGTGGGTTTATTTGCCGCCAAAACTGCGTGAAGATTTGCTGGTGCGTGAATGGCATCAAGTGTGTCCCTGAGGGCCTGGGTACCAACATCAACCAGAAGACGACACAAGCGAGCATAGTTAGTCGTCTCCTTATTGGATGAAGTTGCTGGTGTTGCGCTTGCCATGAGAGTACCGAACCTGTTATTGATAAATGCTAGATAAAGTAAGAAATAAGATAGTTGTACGCTTGTTTTGCGTAATTTCAAACCAAAGTTTGTAACGGTTACGCTACTTCTTACAGTGTTTTTTACCGAGAGAAGTTCAACGTTGTATCGGAAACTCGGTTTCCCATGAGTCCAGGAAAATGGGAACCTCGTTATATACTAGATATGCAACGCCCTCTCGTGGTATACCATGAAATGTCCCACGAGTCACTTGTATTTTCTGGATATACCGAGAAAATACAAGTGACAAGTGCGATATTTCACGGTATACCACAAGAGGGTGTTGCATAGCTATTTTATACCATGCCATAGAAAATAGAGTGGCCACTGAACACAATTAATGCAAAATAGAACTGTCATACGTGCGGCGCATGATGGGAAGGTTGGATGCAATACCGTCGAATATACAACGGTCTTCCTGTATTCTGATTGGCTGTATTTTCTATGGCATGGTATAAATGATTGTATTTCATTCGTATGAGATGGCTCTGTCCCCTCATTTTCTCTTGCTTAGAGAGACACCGAGTCACAGGTGAGGGTTCTGTTTGCGAGCCAAATGATCTGCTATTTTCACCGGATCTCTCGGATTTTTCCATCGATCCTGTTGTAATGATTGGATTAGGAGCGCAAAGCTAGGAAATTCAACACGATGCCTGTGTATGGGCAGGATTTTTCCAGTTTCCTCGAGCTGCACACTGCCGAGATGAGACGAAATCGACCAAACGCAGTTGTGCGGAAAACTCGAACAGCGAATAGCAAACCGGCAGCACTTGAGTTAGCATAAAAAGTGGTGACGCGGCATTGTTTAGCTCTCAATAATTGTTAAGGGTTTAAGCTAACTTTAAGCTAACTGGAACGCTATTTGAGTCAACCAGGGTGCTATTTAGCCTAAACTAGGCTAGCCTTAGTACCACTCAGGTGAGCCATGAACCTTCGCGACTGTTCACGGCTATTTGCTGTATGCTGTTTGGAATTCTAAGGTTATTGGTGTGGTGTTGGAATCTCACTTCTCAGTTCAATCTTCGGCGATTCCTGAGCTGTCAGTTATAATTTCGGTCAGTTTCTTTCAGCTATCGGTAAATTTTGCTGTTCTCAGATCTCAGCTATCATCCAAAAATGAGTTATTTCTCGCAGTGTCGGTCAAATCCCTTGAAGACCCTGTTTTTGCATGATTTTTCAATCTAGGCGCACAGCGTGAGGCTAACTTGAAATCAGTAAAGTCGTATCAAAATTGAAGGTTAATGAACGTCCGATTAGGCGTCCGAGAAAATAGTCGTTTTAGTGAAAAAGATAGAATTATAGTTCAATAGCTCCGTAAACCATAGTGAAAGTCCATAAATGAAACAGTTTGAGTGCACCGGTAATATGCGAACTTAGAAATATCACCGAAGGTTTCACTTAAATTCCGCACACATTCCAGAATTTATAATTTAAGGGCGTTCTTTCGCATGGCCAGCCAAGAAAAAATTGTTTTAGGTTGTTCACAACAAAGCGAAATATAAACCGATCTCACCACCGTTATCAACTCGCCCTGATGACACACAAGCTACTTTTATACTGATCAGAATTCTCTACTGATAGGCTTAAGTACACGCCGTCCTTCTCTAATATGTAACATGTTTATGACAACTGCATGGCAAGCGCTTCTCTCTGACGTGGTTGGAATGCCTGAGCATCCAACCTTGAACTGAACAGTGTTGTTTGATACGAATGAGGTATTGCATTTACGAAGAAAAAAATTCAAGTCAGTTTGAGCAGGATTTAACAAAACGTACGTAAGCTTCTCTGGCAGTGTCATGACTGAGATAAACTGACATCAATCAGATTGCTCAGATCTGCGGCACTATAAAAACGAGACACAAAAATTGAAATTACAAAGAGATGAACAAAATTAACGATGAATCGAGATTAATCGATTGGGATGACTCGTGGCTCGAGCTTAAATGAGAGTTAAACGTGAACATGCTAACCTGAGTGTTATTTTGGCTAACAGGAATGTTATTCAGGCTAACCGGAGTGCAAGCCTACAGTCTCCTCAACTGCAAATAACGCTTAGTAATCATGACAATGGGTTCTTTTGTTTTGCCGATTTCGTTTCGTTTCCGATATATTGGCGGTTTTGTTAAGTCTTTACTGCATGTAACAATAGCATACTGCTTCAAAGATATCTTTTGTGACTACAAAATCAATGAAACAAACAAACCTGTGGATCTTGAAAATCCTATGAACTGAAATCTTATGAACATCCAAACAGGAGCTTGATCGTCGTAGGTGGATATGCATCGGTGCTTAGCAAAGGCGATGCTTTATGGAAATTTATCACTACAGTAGAATGTTCATTGGATGAACACATTCATTTGCCTTTTTGTGCGGCAAGGTTAATATGACCAAGATATCGTCCTACTGTATGTGGCGGCCAAGAAACTCATTTCCTTTGTTTGTCATTTGCTAACCAATCAGACTGGACCTCTTTAGTGGAACAGACATTCCTTCATTGAAGGATCCTCTTCAAGGGTGGTATGCTTGACTAAAGATGTATCTTTGCACAGTTAACGATATGTTTCTAAAGAATTGGGAGAGAGGGGAGCACGTATTTGTTTTAGGAAATTGGGAAGAAAAAACAACTAAAATGGGATTGAAGAAAGATCATGCACCTTCGCCTTACTTGCCATCAGTAATCTTTTCCCAACCCCTCCTGGGTAAGCAGATCTATTTGTCAGCGATACAGAAGCTGTTGATTGTCTAGTTGTCGACCTTACAAACTTCGTTTTTGAGAAAAATGCAGAAGAAATTGTATTCTGAAAAACCTAAAATTGCTGTTTGATTTAAAGGTTTCTAAATTAAAGATGAGCTTTCGACTGCCAGGCTGCAGCCTTTGATGAATAATAATAATCACGCGAGTGGATGAATATTTAAACTAACCAAGCGTGAAATTCAATGGCTTTACCGAACCACTTGCGAAAGTTTTTCGTAAAAACGATATTCGAAAAAAAGGCAGTAGAAATTGTTGGAACTGTTATAAAGGGCCGGGTATATCTTATTGACTTTGAAAACGCAAGAGTGATTTACCAAAGCGTGATTAATCAGTGCATAACACACTTAAGTCATGACACACACCACTAATCAAGCAGAGAACAACTCCAAGCTGTTACCTAGGTAACACTCAATTTTTTTTTATAAAGCTACTTTTATTTTAATTTTAATGTAATTGTCACTTTTAATTAATCTGATGATGACCTTCGTATCATTTGTTCCGTTACTTTTTCACACGTGGCTCCATTCACGTATTCATACATTCGTACATTAATTCGCATGTTTCTTATTATACGTCAAAGGCCGCAGCCTGGTAGCCGCAAGCTCAGTGTTTTGAAAACTGTAAACAGAGAACGATTTTAGTTTTTTCACTATGTTTGACCCTGGTTGCTTATCCACTTTTGCTGGTATTTTTACTTTTATCATACATAGAGTCACGCCAGCTTTTGAAGTCGAGAAGATCGCACGGGCAAACTATGGTTTACATCGTGGCCTCCAGTGAGCTAAATTGTTAGCAAAATTATTAACCAGAGGAGTGAGTGTTCAAAATGGCTAATGTTGAAAGGTAGTACCGTGTGGTACTAAATTTTTGCAGGAGTTTATTTTGGCGAGTTAGTGACATTTTGTATTTTGCAGGAACTAATTTTTGCCTTTGCAAAAGACTGTTTTTTTTTCTCGCTGGGTACTAATTTTTTTTCTTTTTTTGGGGGGGGGGAAAGTCCCATTATTACAACATTTCCACATTTTTAAACTAAACTGCATGCAATTGACAAGCAAAAACAATATGTAGAGATATAAAACACAGTAATCCAGTAATTAGTGTCACTCTATCACAATTACATCGTGCCCTTGTGTGAAATTGTAGATGCTCTACTGAATAAAGCATCTTCAGACGATCCTTTCCTGTAAACTTTTTTTATTTCTGAACGTTTTGTTTCTCATTTCATCGTTTTGATTTTGAACAAAAGAGACGTTAAGTAAATGACAGCAACAAGATTCTATTTGTGATGTTTGTATGTATAATTTCGCCAGTTGCGTAGATTTTTGCGGAGAAAATGTTTGCGAGAATTTGGTTTTGCGGATCGTGGAGAAAAACGCAAAAAATCGAAAAAATTAGAACCCGCAAAAATTTAGTGCCACGCGGTATGCCTCCCTCGCACGGGGTTAAAGGGTTCAAGCCTAGTAACTCAGTACTAGACTCTTGAGATTTGTTGTTAACTCAGCATCGCGCCTCTGTTTAGGAAACCGATGGAAGAAACCTAACAGAAACGTAATGATGCCTCTTTTTTTTTGTGATTGGAAAGAAACTTCACAGATACGTAACTTTTTTTACACAGGATTCTCTTCTGTTGGTACTTAAATAACACAGAAACGCAATATTTCTCCCTGTGCTTTACTTAGGGAAGGACCATTAGAAAAGTAGAGGGGGGGGGGGNTGGTGGGACGTTTTCAGCTCGCAGGAATTTTTTTTTCACGTCCAATGCTTCTGCAGGAGTTTTTTTTAGGGAGCAAATTCCCTCCACGAGTTTTTTTAGGAGAGTGGGAATTGGGGGTGACACTCACTAAAATCTGAATGCCTGGAACAGGCTCCACGTTCAAACAAATATCTTTTTAACCTTCACACAGTCGTTTTGCGTTCCTGTCAAAATCATACTACTCGTGGGAAACATACCCAAGTATCAAGCAAAGGGAAATATAAATTTTATTGATTCATTACCCTTGCAATGAAATTCATTCTTGGCATGCAATGAATCAAGGTTTAAGCTAAGGTTCTGTGAGTGAGGGTCCAGTAGTTAACAGTTTGTGGCCGAACAGCTTATTCAACTACGGGGTCTGAAAAATTGAAAAACTTTTGGAGAGTTTTCCACGATTTTCAGCCGATATGTTTAATGCCACGGGACTTGAATGATAATGCGTCGTTTACTTTGCCAAACACCTAAAATAGATTGAAACAGCCCATACTAAACGCATCAGTTGTGTTAACACCTCCATGA